ACCAAGACATTCCACATGCAATACAAATTAATATACTTCATGAACATAAATGCCAAGCTTCATAGCAAAATTTTCACAAATAGAATTTTAAAATATGTGAATAGGAAAATACATCTTGACCTATTTAATTTATTCCAAGAATGCAAAGTTAGTTAAACCTTTAAAAAATAATAAATAAAATTAACCAAAGAAACAGATAATAAAAGAAATTCCATACAATCATTTCAATAGAAACAGAAAAATTATTTGACAAAATCCAATGTCAATTAATGCTGCAATTCATAACTGGGAACAATAGGAAATTTACCTATTCTGGAAAGGGTAACTGATACATATATATATATACATGTGCATATTTAGATAAGTTTATCTATGTGTATATAGACATACGTAGACACTAAAATCATACTTACTCATGAAAGACTGAAAGCCTCCTCACTAAGTCAGAAACAAGACATGATGTCTAGTCTGCTCTCACTATTCCTTTTTCCTTCTTTGTTTCTTTGTTGTGTTTTGTTTTAGCTTCGCTCTTACTGCCCAGTCTGGAGTGCAATGGCGCAATCTCGGCTTACTGCAACCTCCGCCTCCCCGGTTCAAGCAATTCTCATGTCTCAACCTCCCAAATAGCTGGGATTACAGGCATGTGCCACCACACCCAGCTAATTTTGTGTTTTTGGTAGATACAAGGTTTCACCATGTTGGTCAGGCTGGTGTTGAATCCTGACCTCAAGTGATCCACCCATCTCGATCTAATAAAGTGATGGGTCACTATGTCTTTTTTAACATTATTCTAGAGGTCTTATCAAGTGTAATAAGGCAAGTGGGGGAAAAAAGCAACTATATTAGAAATAAACAACAAACGTGTTTCATATGGAAAAAACATGAATTTTACCTTTAAAAAAAATCCTGTCGTACCTTCAAAACAGATACTAGTACTAATAAATAAACTTAGCAAGGTTACAGAATGTATAAACAGCATACAAAAATCAATTGTATTTCCATATACTAGAAACAAATAATCCAAAATTAAAGTTTTTGAAACTTTATTTAAAATACTATAAAAATGTCCTGTATTTAGTATTAAATTTGTCAATATGTAAGGAAGACCTATACACTGAAAACCTACAAACATCGATTAAAAAAAAATAAACAAAACTTAAATAAATAGAAATATATATGCCATATATGCCATTAATGGATCAGAATACTCAGTATTGTTTTTTGTTGTTGTTGCTGGTGTTGTTTTTGAGACTTATTATGTTGCCCAGGCTGGAGTGCACTGGTGTAATTTCATCTCACTACAATTTCTGCCTCCCAGGTTCAAGTGATTCTTTTGCCTCAGCCTCCCAAGTAGCTGGGATTACAGGTGCCCACCACTATGCCCAGCTAATTTTTGTATTTTGAGTAGAAATAGGGTTTCACCATGTTGGCCAGGCTGATCTTGAACTCAACTTCAGGTGATCCACCCACCTGGCTGGGATTCCCAAGGTGCTGAGATTATAGTCATGAGCCAGCGTGCCCGGCCTCAATATTGTTTAAGATGTCAATTTCCAAATCAAATTCCCAAGGTTTTGAAAAACTAAAAGCTAATTTGGAATGTTGTATGGGGAAAAAAATAAGAGCACATGGGAGTCCCAATATATTTGAGATAGAACACTATCTTTAAAACCATCATTTATCAAGATAGTACAACATTGCCATATAGATAGAAAAATAGATCAACAGAACAGAATAGCATCCACAAATAGACCCACATCCATATTCAATTGATTTTTAAGAAAGCTGGCAAGGCAATTCACTGGAAATCTTAATCTTTTCAATAATTGCTACTACAAAAATTGAATAGCCATATCCAAAGAAGAAAAAAAATTTCAAAACTTTACCTTATGCTATATACTAAATATAATTTAAAAGTAATCATTTATCAAAATATGAGTTAAAACTATAGAATTTGTAGAATAAACCATTGAAGTTAATTTAAACCACATTGAAATAGTGCGTGTGCAGAGCAACTGAACTTTCTCATATTGTTGGGAATTTAAAAGGCTAAAACCATTTGGGAAGATACTTTGCTGGCTTCTTAAACTTGTACATGCATCTATCACACTACGTAGCCATTGCAATTTTGATATTCAACCAATTGAAATGAAAGCCTATTTTTTTATGAAGTCTTATATTGGAATGTTCACAGAAATTTTATTTTTAATATATATTCTCCAACAATGAATGTACAAACAAATTGTAGTGTATCCATATGATGGAATACTATTCAGCAATAAGGAGGAAAGACTACTGATACATGTAACAGCATGAATAATATTAAAATAATTATGTTGCATGAAAGCAGAAAGATCAAAAGTAGTTCTAGGGTATGATTCAATGTATACAGTGCTCTAGAAAGTACAAATAAATCTGTAGTGACAAAATGTAGATCAGCAGTTGCCTATAGACGGGGTGGGTGGGCCACTGATAAACGAATGTACGGGCAGCCCTTTCCATCTGCTTGTTTTATATCTGAGGATTTTGCCAACTCTGAATTCAAAATGATTTTTAATGCAACAATTAAAAATACCTTACAAAAATTATGTACAAAGCGTTACATTGTGTTAAGTATCATAAGTAATCTCAGGATCATTTAAAGTATGCTAGAGAATGTGCATAGGTTGTATGCAAATCCTATGCCATTTTACACAAGAGAATTGAGCTTCCACAGATTTTGGTATCTGTCGGGGATCCTGGAATAAATCCCCTGTGGATACTGAAGGATTACTCTATTGTAAAGGGTCATGAAGCGTCTTTTGTGGGTATTTGATACATTTACTAGTTTGAATTTGTAAATGGTTTCATAGGTATATACATATGTTAAAACTAATGAAATTGTATACTTTATCACTCAAAAAAATTAAAAAAAGTCTTTTGATGAAAACAAAACTTTTCTGCATTCTTGACAGTCTTTACTGATGAAGACTCTTAAATAACTTAGAACGTAGTAGAAAGAGTCATTAATGTAGAAAGTGCATATACAAAGTATGTATTGTATAATATATTACAATGGCCTGAACAGTATAAACTTAGGAAACTAGTCTCTAAAAGTGAATGGCTCAATAGGAAAATCTAAGTTAGTCACAACAGCTTACATAGAGAAAAGGAGAGCATAGAAAAAATATAAGCCTTGATTGATGAATGTGAAACCAATCATGAGCAAATTTTTGTATGAGAACAGCCTGTAGATATTAAGAAATCATTTATACTTTTTACAGGAGAGCAATATGAGGTTGTATAGCAAGACACACATGGAAAAACTAACTGTAGTTCAAATACTTTTGGATGCAGAAAACCCAATTCATCTTATAGAAATAAATAAACAGATGCATTTATTAGTTCACAAAAATTATTTTTAAAAGTGTCTAGCTACAGCGCTGTTTGATTCAGAAACTCAAATGCTGCTTCCAGATCTGATGTCTGATTTCTTTCTTTCTTTTTTTGTGTGTGTGAGATAGAATCTTGCTCTTTTGCTCAGGTTGGAATACAGTGGTGTGATCTTGGCTCACTGCAAACTCCACCTTCCGGTTTCAAGTGATTCTCCTACCTCAGCCTCCCAAGTAGCTGGGATCACAGGCATGCACCAACATGCCTGGCTAATTTTTGTATTATTTGTAGAGATGAGATTTCATCATGTTGGCCAGGTTTGTCTTGAGTCTTCCTGCCTTGGTCTCCCAAAGTGCTGGGATCATAAGCACGAGCCACCACACCCAGCCTGATTTCTCTACATCATTTTGCTCCTCTCTCCTCCAGGCTGACTTCCTTCTTGTCACCACCTTGTATGAAGACGATCTAGCAGAAGTTCACATTCTACATTTTCCAACATGTAAACCCAGAGAACAAAACTCCTGTGTTTCCTTTCCAACAGTCCTAGCAAATTTATTTGACTCTCCATAGCTTTGACTGGGTCACAGATCCATGAACTAATTATTCAAGCCAAGAGATTAAAATTGTCCTGATTGTCTGATTTGCACAAATGTCATATAGCCACCCTTGTCACCATGAGGTTGAGGAAGAGTAGATGCATAAAGAGAAATTTGAATGTTAGCAGGACAAGTTAAATGAAATTTAACTGGCAAAAAATTACAGGAAGAAAATAAAAGCTGTCTGTAAAAAAAAAAAAATGTGTGGTGAGTGCATGCATGGCTGTCATTTCAGAAGTGACTAACCGTGGGATTTCCTTGTCTCCGTGTTCTCTAGGAAATAAAGATGACAAATATTATGTTAAAAAATATTGATCCAAAGACCACTGAGAGCTAATCATTTTGATAGTCACTAAAGATACAAATTCAAACAAGATGTGGTTTTTTCCTTAATACATTTGTAGCTTATTGTAGGAGATAACTAAGTTTGCTAAACATTATGAGATAAGTTTACAAGCATTCATGGAAACTCTGAAGAAGGTCTGCAAAATCATTTGGGGCATTTGAATTGATGTTTGAACCAAATTTGGAAGAAAGAGGAGTTAGCCAAATGAAACAAGATTACAGCAGTGCTATGAATAAGACATTATAGCAGATAAATTAACAAGAAAAGGGACATGGAAATGTGGAAAATCTTTACACATTAAAGGCACTGACTGTAGAGAATGGTGCAGTGTGGAGACACTAGAGTAAATAAAGCTAAGTAGGTAGAAAAAGAACTTAGCCATGTTAGAAATAAATTTATGGTGCCACAAAAGAAATAACACTCAAATATAAATTTTCTCAGCAAGGCAATTTACTACTATAGAAGGGTGCGCCTCATGGATAGAGCAATGGTGAGAACACACCAGAGCAAGGGAGGGGAAGGGGTTCTTATCCTTGAGGCAGGTAGCCCCTACTACAGTGTCATTCCCCTACTGGCTAGCGTTGGATGGCACAGTCTATGCTAATTCCAATTGGCTGCTGTAAAGAGAGCAGGAACATGAGCCAGTGTGGTAGGGTGAGTAGTTTCAGCAGGATAAACAGTTATGGAACAGGTGACTAAAGGTGATTCAGATCAGAGCAGGTGACCGGGGTGACTCAGTATAGAGCAGGTGACTAGGATGAGTCAGGACTATAAATATGCAGGTTGGGAGGGGGATGGTTTCAGTGAGGGGAATAGGTGTAGGTAACCAGAAAAACAGATGAGAGCTAATGACTAGAGCTGGCAGGAAGTTTATTTACTGAAACTAGGGGCAAGGAGACCAAGAGAACAAGGAGCTTAAACTTATAATGGAGAACAAAAAACCAAGAAACTAAACATACTGACATACTGATTCTTTGAAGAGAAACTTGGAACTTACTGTATTTAACAGCCACAAGGATTTAGTGTACTAAGCTAAGAAATTTGAGCCTTGCAATGGGAAATGTTGTATTCTGAGGTATTAAAGAAAGGGAAGAGATACAGTTAGAACTACTTTGTAGGAAATTTATTCTGACAACAGCAAGGAAGATAGATTAGAGGAGGTCCAGAGTGTCAACAGGGAGAATTCCTACAATATTCTGATAATAATTACAGTGAGTAGTGATAAGAGGCAGGAAAGCAAAAATGAGGCAGCTGAGCAAGTATTAAGGCAAAAAAAAGATAGCATTCTCCAAAAGAAAATTGAAACTTTAGAGATTTTTGTCTCGGTGGGATTGTGAAATGCATGAGAAAGTTGAAAAAAACTGTATGGTGATTCTAAGTTTTATGTCTTGTAAGAATGATGAACCTAGGTGCTGTTTACCAAAAATCAACTATGTTACATTTATGCTGCGTTTATGACAGAATCTGAAAACCCAGCAGTTGTGACATGTTTCAATCATTTTCTTAAATGTCATGTATTTTCCTGTCCTTGTATGTCCAAGTTCCTAGGATTTATCTTTTACTAAGTTAAGTGCTTGTTTTAACGTGGGAATCCTCATCTACACAAAGCTCCAAACTAGGGGCTGAATTTCAGCTGTTATAGCTCTTGGACTAGAGTCTTATTCCTACGAGACGGCAGATCACGGTTCAGCAGAATGTACTAAGAGGAAATCTCATGTTTATAATTAGAATGTCTCCGAATGTCTTCATGTCAGTAGCCAAACAAAGAATGTTATGAGCAGAATCTAAGTTGCAAAGGCCTAGGCACTAATGAAAACTGATCTTTAGGTAAATTTAAAGAAAGTGTTAAAAGAGAGAGTTGGAGATGTGTTACCAAAGTGTGAAAGGAATTTTGGGGTAGCATCTTTTCAAGGGTATTGACTATTTAGGCATGCAAATGCAAATAAAATGATAGGAATTGTAGAAGAGCAAGTTAGGTAGAAGTCAAGGTCATCCAATTCTATATTGTTCCCCCAAAGAGTTCTGAAAAGCTAAGAATATGAACTTGGACACACAATTACATTAACTGGGAAAATGTTCTGTGTTTCAGTTAACAAAACCTTCTGTATTAATCTGTCTTAACAGCAATCTACTTGAAAAAAATCTTTGTGTCTGGTTGTTCTGCTTGACTACAACATTAGTGTGAACCAAAAAGATGACATGGCAGCTAATATCACACTGAGCACAATAATGCAAGTCTAAAGTCCACATACAGAAGGTAATTATCCCACTGAACTCCACATTGTTCAGACCAAAACTGAAGGTTGATGTTTTGTGCTGGGCTTTGCAATTTATTCAAGTTGATTTTATCCTACAGTAATATAGTTCTTGTAAGAAGCGAAAAATGCATGCAAATGTGAAGATTAAAAGTCTTGCAAGAAGGGTGCAATGACTCACGCCTATAATACCAGCACTGTGGGATGGCAAGGCGGGTGGATCACTTGAGGTCAGGAGCCCCTGACCAGCCTGGCCAGCATGACGAAACCCCGTCTCTACTAAAACTACAAAAATTAGCTGGATGTGGTTGTACACTCCTGTAATCCCAGCTACTCAGGAGGCTGAGTCAGGAGAATTGCTTGAACCCAGAAGTCGGAGGCTGCAGTGAGCCGAGATCATGCCACTGCACTCCAACCTGGGGAATAGGAAGAGACTCTGTTTCAAAAAAAAAAAAAAAATCCTGCATAATCCCAACTTTACATGATGACTACTAACAATGCAAAATACTTCTTTCAGTGTTTTCCTTATACTCACAATAATACAGAAAGAAGCACATTTAGAATTTTAGAAAATCTAAATTTGATCTAAAGTAAGTACCAATTACTAAACCACATTAAAAGATTAAAGAATTCAAATGATTCTGCAATAATTTCCTTTGTTGTCTTTGGTTCTTTAATGGGACTATTGGATAGATATTTGTTTTACAATAATCTAAAATTATGTACTCAATGGCATTTGTCCCAGAACAGACAGAATGTATGTCTCAGAGGAAAATCCAGGTCTACATCTGTTAGTAGAAAAAAGTTACTGTTGTTTTTTAACGAGAATATTTCCCTTTCTCTTAACTAAAACTTGGAAGAAAAAATGTATGATTAAGTTTTATCACAGTTATCTACATATTTATAGATATGTGTATATGAGATCTCACACACTATACAGTTTTATAATTATATTTTGTTGTTTATTCAATTAATTAAGGTTTTAATTACAAAACTATCACACATACAAAACATATATAAAACATGTATGTACAGCTTTAAGACAATTTTTAAAAAGAATAGTTACCACAAACCAGCTGGAAATAGAAAAATGTCAATTCCTTTGAATCCTCTCTGTGCCTTTCCCAAATCATATGCTCCATCATCACTCAAAGATAACCATTCTCTTCAATTATTTTCTTGCTTTCTTTTATAGTTTTACCACCAAAAAGTATAATATGTTTTTCATTTTGTTTTAACTACATTGCAGCCCCTTGTGCAATGTAGTTAAAAAAAATAAATTTTTATTTAAGTGACATTAAATGGTGATTTTGGAAGAACTGACATCTATTCATTATTAAATCCCCTTTTATGAACATGGCTTAGGTTTTCTTTAATGTTTTTTTGTAAGGTTTTATTTACAAAAATATTTAAATGTGTCATATTTTCATATTTTATTTTCTGTTACAGTTAATAGGATATATTATTTTACAGAATATAGGCATTTAGTTATAATTAAAATTTATGTACATAGGTTTATAACATCTTATCATTTTAATGTGAGTATAATTTTTAGTGATACTCCTTTACATTGTTTATAGTGACTGTTTTCTTTCCTGATTTGTTTTTTTATTTTGTTTCACAAGACATTTATAAATTTTATTGGTGTTTCAAAGACATAAATTTTCATTCTGTTAATATTCTATTTTATACCTGTATTCTATTTCATTAATTTCTGCTCTTATTATTTCCCCTCCTATTTACATTTATTTATTTTGTTTTTCTTTTTCCACTTGTTGTAAGGGGTGTTTAGTTTTTTTGATTTTCAACCTTTTTTCTTTACTAATATGTTTATTAAAGGATGAAAATTTATTATACTTTACCTGAATCTTACAGCTCAAATCTTACAATCTCACAATTCGAACAATCTTGAATATAATTAGTTCAAAAAATTTTCCTTTGTCTTGTAAATTATTCTGAATATCTGGGTATTTTATAGTTATGATTTTATGATATTTTTGAAACATAATTTAATTTTGGCCAGAGGACACTATCTTCTTAAGGTCAATTTGTAAGATTCTTGGTATCCTGCAATGGGTGGGTGCCATATCATATGTATGTTTACTGGGATTAGTTTACTCACTGCTTTTTCAATATTCAATATCTCTTTATGTTTGTTTTTCTAATGGTAACAGAGATATGTTCTTTAACATTTTGCTCATGGTTTTATCTATTTTTTTCTCACAGCTTTTTTCATTTTTGCTTTATAAATTGAGGCAAGGTTGTTAAGTGCACACATATTTAGAATTGCCATTTTTTATTATTCTGATGCTTCTCAAAATTAGTTTCAATTAACACTTTATTATTCTGAAGCATAATCTCCTTATATTGAGTTCTACTGAGATACAATTTCCCACTTAAAAATTGCACATGATTTTGTGTGGATTCATCCCATGTGGGACATGAGGGATCTCTAAATTTAAGGATTAATATATTTCTTCAGTGTTGGGCAATTCCTATTATCTATTAAAATATTGTTTCTACACCACTTTCTGCTTTATTTCTGCTACTTCAGTTATAGTTGATTATCATTGTTTGCAAATTTTGAATTTGTGAATTTTCCTACTTGCCGAAGTTTGTTAGTAACCTCAAAATCAATAATCATGATGCTTGTGCAGTCACTTGCAGGCATGCACAGAGACGAAATGTTTGAGTAGTTAACTGACACTCTTTCAGATGGGGTCAAACAAGGTGACACTGTCCTTTCGTTTCAACTCTGGGGCCATAAATAAGTTCTGCACCCACTATTTTTTTTTTTTGAGAAGGAGTCTCACTATGTTACCCAGGCTGAAATACAGTGGTGGAATCTTAGCTCACTGCAGCCTCCAGGTTCAAGTGATTCTCCTGCCTCAGCCGCCCAAGTAGCTGGGATTACAGAGTTGTACCACCACACCCAGCTAATTTTTGTATTTTTAGTAGAGATGGGTTTTTGTCATGTCAGCCAGGCTGGTCTCAAACTCCTGACCTAAAGTGATCCTCCTACTTTGGCCTCCCAAAGTGTTGGAGTTACAGTCATGAGCCACTGTGCCCAGCCAAGTCCTGCCCTTTTTAAAGTCTATTTAAATGCTGTATTTTATTCATTTCGTGCTTTTTGTCGGTGATTTTTCTATTTAAAATGACCCAAAGTATACCGCTGAAGAGCTGCCTAGTGTTCCTAAGCACAAAAAGGCTGTGATATATGTTCTTGACCAAGAAAATATGAGTACTATGCAAGCTTCATTCAAGTATGAGCTATGGTGCTGTTGGCTGTGACTTCACTGTTAATTAATCAACAATATATTTTATAATAAAGTGTTAGGAGACTGAGGTGGGTGGATCACTTGAGCCCAGGAGTCCAAGGCCAGCCTGGGTAACATGGCAAAACCTTGTCTCTATAAAAATTAGCTGGCCAGAATGACTCAAAAAATAAGAAATAACAAGAAAGTGTCTTTAAATAGAAACATAGAGAAAACAAGGTCATGTATTGATCAATTGATGAG